ACGAGAGTGGTCGTTCAAAGAGAGTCAACTGTATGAAATAAAGGGAAAATAATAAACAAAGAAACAATGAATAAGTTCAGAAATTTTTAATAATCAACATTAATTATGAATGATAATGAATGTGAGAGATTCTGCAATTGGTGTTGGGTGTCCTATAAGCTGAAAGAAAGATGGCAAAAAAACGTCAGTTAGAGATATTTATACAGCAGAAAATACTGCTTAAAAATGTAATTACACATGGTAATTACAGATACGTACCTTGTCTTCTCTTTCCGCGCTTACGCGGGCAGTGTCACACACGCCCGCATCTGTAGCACCTCTTTTTCTTTTCTCTCATTTTTGTCTATGATTAAAAGGAAGCAAGCGAACATTTAAAAATTGCATCCTGTAAATACTCACAGTCGGTGTTATTACCTCCACCAGCAGCCGATTTGTCTGCTAGTAAGGTAAAATATTATATTTGTAATAATTTTAAATATCCCAAAGAAAGTTTGAATTGAAGCTGAAGGTTGCATTGTTCTATGGGGCTTTTTTGCGTATGCATTGCAGAGACTGAATATAAATCAGATTGCCAATATATAATGTGAAGCRAAGCCATTTTGTACAGTAAAGACCTCGCGCWTTTAGAATGAAAGAATGCAACTCCCATTATCCTATGTTGCTCAAAATGCACTGTCTATTGATCGATGTTTTGTTGTACCGTTGTTATTGTCTGTTGTTTCTTCTTCCTCTCTTAATTTTCAAGCCTAGCAAATAATTTTCTGTTTTCCTTTTCCATGATCTGTTGGGAAATGCAATTCAGAAGTACATTAATTAAAAAAAATCATTAATCAAATAAATTCTTTAATAATTATATATTTAATGTTCAAAAATCTTTACTTGGACTGTGTAATTAGAGCTCCTCCCTCCTTTTTGACTGCATCTGTGAAAGGCTCTTTTCTGTAGGTGGTTTTTCTGTATTAAAATGGAAAACGTAGCTGTCAAATGACAATTGCACTTTGATTTCCTTTTATTAAGAATGGCTAGGTTGCAAATCCTGTCTCATGTGCAGTAGTAGAATGATTATGGTTGTTATCAATACCTTMTCAACAGTCTTACAGTTGAAGTGATGAAGAGTTTGATATTTCTCCAAGAATTGTGGGATGTGATATACCAATACTGCAAATATAAAATTTATTATATCCCCAATGATAAGGATCGAAACAATACTATTCCACTTAAATTAAAACTCCTCCACTTGTCCTGCTTTAATATATGTATGTATACTTACCATGGATGGTATTGGGATCACATCCTAAAAATAAATTGAAATTATTAAGTCAGAAATGTTCTCATAAAATGAGTCATACATACTATAATTAATTTATGTTATTTCCTTTCAGTAATTACTACTTGGCATTCACTGCAAGCACAACTACAGCTGTAGGTTGGCTCAATTGTTTGAGTGCTGGTCAGCGATACAACCATCTGAGTCAGTCACATGTTATGTCATGCCTGCATGTCTACAAAACTGATGTGGATATTGGGAAGACCTGGAACTTTCAAACTTCACTCAGTTACAGTAGGAGTTACAAAAGTAGCTGTTCTAAATGCTTTGACCCATTTGAGAGCATTCAATTTAAAGCTGTCAGGCTCTAAATATTGGGGAGAACTAGGGTCTGCTTTCAGAGCATCAGMCAGGACTTCAAAATCTCTCCATRCAGACTGTAAATTGTTGATATCGAGAGACTTGACTTCAAAGGTCTGAATGGACGACAACTTACAGAAATATAATTATAAATAAAAGTKCATCACATACATTTTTACATTGCACTGGTGAAGTGCACTCATTACTGTATTTCTTGGAACACTTTGAACATAATTGTACAAACTAGCACTAGAAAAAATAGCTTTTACTCTATACCTGGAAAGGAATTTTGTTTTCATGTAGGTATTCTTTCAGAATAACCCTAAGTGCATCTTTGTTTCATTTAGTGCGGAGACCATACTTTTGGCAGGCAGCCACTAGCTGCATTTTAGTCAAAGTATCTACACTAGTTTTACTTTTATCTGCCACATTTCTAAAAAATTGACTAAGATCCAGACTCTTTGTGACTGTTTCCAGATCATCACCTGTATATAAATTGCAGTTTTAATANACACATCTTTGATAAATACAAAATATGTAATTATTTTATAAGTCTTCTTAGTGACATGTATAAACCAGCCAATTCAAGACTTGATAATGTAATTACCTAATACATGAACTTACCTGATTTAATAGTTTCCCTCTAATTCTTAGAAGGAGATGCAGGGTGTCTGGTATAACCTTCTCAAAATTCACATTTATCAGTGGAATGGCCTGTACTCCCTTTCGGTTTCCAGTAAAAGTTTCTAATGCTCTCTCAACACAGTTTTCATATGTTCGAGTGATTTTTAAAACTGCAACTGATAAGAGACAGCATTTATATTAATTCCAGTTATCAAATATAAYCTCATATTATTTCTCAARTAATRAGCCCAAGGATTTAGGGTCTTCCCTTAGCAAAGAATTAGATTGCTACAGTACAGTGTATGTGGAGGAATCTTTTTAAAAATCTCTCAAATATCAGCTCTCTTTCTCATTGAAAATGAGACCATTCAAACCAGGTCTTATGATAACCATTAGAATTTGAGTATAGTATATAAATATCTTGCTGATACTCCAACTCAGCTCCATCAAAAGCTCTCTTTGCTTTACTTACTTGTAAAATCTCTAATCAGTTTTTTGCAGCACTCGCACCACAAACAGAAGTATTCTGAGGAAGGACTATTTATACCCAGTAGTATGGCCATAAACTTCCAGTCAGCACATAATAGCCTAAGGGAATTTCCTGAATGTTTAATATCTTTGAACAACTCACCAGTCAATTTTCAGAGTTACTTTCTCATCAAGACTGATGCCTTTTAACCTAATCTCTTCCATCTCTTTGAATACATCTTTGTTGAAGGTCCCTTGATTCTTTTCCTTAAAACAAAAAAAAGTACAATTAATTTTCTTTGCTTTTATTTGTCTCATCGGGACTGTTTTAATAGCATAGCAGTGTTTTTTTTATTAATACTTTATCCAAATGCTAAATGTCTGTTTCATCAAATGAATGATTGATTGAGCATGCAGTATTCATTGAATACAAGCGTTAATTTTCATTAATTCTTCGAGAACATTTCCTTTTAATATCATGCCTACATAAATATTCGATTCTATCTAGAGGCAGTGGATTCTGGTAGAACAAAAGTTATTAGGGTGAACTCATGGGTAGAATTGGTCCAAACCATCTCTAAATTCTTTCTATTTATATACAGTGAGTTCCAAGGAGATTCCCCTGGAAGGACCAACGTAATTAGGGTGAACTCATGGATAGAGGTCGATTGGTCGATTTTTAGTAGTGATTTTACTAGTGAGCAGCACAGGGTGTAAACTTTAGTAAACTTTTTAAAGTTTTTTTTTTTTTTGAAAGGGTCTCGTCTACTGTCTTCTGGAGAAGGCTGCTAAGGAATGGAGTAGAACTAGGAAGCCAAGAATTCTGGATATTCACATGGTTTTCTGTTGGACATTGTTCTGTCTCTTGAGATGGAGTACGTAATGTAGGAACTGGAGGAGTTGTAGGATAGTGCTGTCTCAGTGCTTCTCGTGTAGGCTGTGCCACTGGTCCTGTTGGACGCTGTTTTGTCTCTCGCGGCTGGGTACGTAATGTACGTAATGTAGGAATATAGGAATATTTCCTCACCTTATCACTGCAGGCAAGGACCTTGGTTGCCAGTACCAAGTGTGGTGTTAAATCGTTTTCCATACCTTTCATGCCCCATTGAACTCTATGCGGCTTGTCAAATAGACCTTTTTCAGTGCAAATGTGTAATCATTATCTTTCAGAAAGTAAAAACTAGCACCATGCTTTATGCGTTACTTACCTGACTTGCTGAAACCCTTGTGCATTTTCAGAGTTTTCATTTTTCTTCCTTCGTTCCTTTCCCACTGTTCAACGAGCTTCTGAGCTTCCTTCAAGCTCTCAACAATGTTGATTGTTTTGGTTTAGCCGAAGTCAAATGTCCATACAAGATGGCCAATGTCACTSCAATAGATGCATGTTCTGACTCAACATTTTGCATGGAAAAAAATAATGATAATACTTGCTCCCTGAAGAAAAATCATCAATATTACTCTCAAGTACAAGGCCAAATGGGCGTTACTGGTGCCAGATGGTGCGACTTTATAGTRTACACAAGGAGAGGTATTTATATCCAGCGGATTGCATTTGATGTTTCTTTCTGGAATGATTTAAAGAAAAGCTAACCACATACTACCTTCGTCAATTTATTAAATATGCTACTGATGATCTGGCAAAACAGAGTAACAACGACACTGAAAATAATGATGAGTGAGTAATATTTTTTAAGTTTCTAGTTATATCTTTGTGCCTAGTTTTAGTTAGTATGATAATACCAGTCCAGGCATGAATGCATTAAATATGAACATGAACATTCTTTTGAATGACATAATATAACATGAATTTGAATTGAAACTACACATACATGTATTTCCTTGAATTKTCAATGTCAGATACTCAGATATTGAAAAATCAACTATTGTTAAAGTTGTTTCTTTTTATGGCTGAATTCACATGTTTTGTTATAATAATATAGAAAATATAATAGTATTGATAATTGTATACAATCATGTATAGCATGCCCTGCATGTCTTTAAATATCAATAATGTAAATTTAAATAATATAACTGTAAATTCCAAATGCATTATAATTAATTGTCATTGTTGATAAGTGTAAATAAATCAAACTATTCTTACTTCACCTTGCAGTTATAATGCTATGAATATGAAAACTAGAGTGAATGTTCTTCAAAATGTATTTAAAATTTATGACTAGAGAACACAGTGTAAATTGTTGTCCAGATCAATATTTATCTTTAGTTTAAAGAGCTCTGGACTTGTTTTGTACATTCACTCTGGTTTCATTATAGTTATATTCTAGGTTGAAATAATGTTGGGTTGGACATTGCAAAGAAATGCACATACAGCCCACATCTGATTCACAAGGCCTAATTGATGAATTGGTACCACACGGTCCYATACATGAAAGTTCTTGATTTTGTTAATCGCACGCTCGACATGAATTYGAAGACTAGCAATTTCTTGAGTAAGGACAACATCTTCTGCTGGCATTTGATCTGAACTACCAAGGAATGGTGGCAACCTTAAATCTACTCYCAAAGGACGTAGAAGGTCATCAATTGTGAAGCCCTTGTCAGCCATCACTAGATCCTTGTCTGTAAATGGAAGATCAAGAAACCCACTGCGTATCACAATTTCTCTGTCAGAAATTGACCCGGTGTACAGTTCACTGACAAATGTTATTGMTCCACCAGGGGAGATACCCACTAAACCTTTCAGTGTGGTATGATTCTTGTAATTACTGAATAACTCTCCATTAAGTTGCAAACTGCTAGGCATTTGACAGCGAACCTCAGTGCAATCAATGATTACCCTAGTAGAACTGTATTTTGCTTTAAAAGCTTCAGGCATAGTTTTGTCAATGACTTCTCTTGAGKGCCAAATGTTTATCTGTGYGAGTTTCAAGTACATAAAGTTTACCCAGGATATAACAATCYGACTMACTGTTGAGAGTGATATATCAAATAGGTGACCAAGATGTTCCTCAGGAAATCCTTGTCTAAGTCTGCACATTACAAGGAAATACTCGTCAAGTGCTTTTAATTTCCGTGGTCGTCCTTTCTCTGACTTGGTGTTATCATAATTATCAAGGGGGGCTTCATCTGCATTGGATGCAGATGACCAATATCTGATATTCTTTAATGCTAGTTACAACTCGAGTATGTACCCAAAAATATATTAATAAAGTACAGTATTTAAGAAGAAATGAGCCAATTTGACAAGTATCCCCGCACGTGCCACATGTTTGTTTATGGAATATAGCATCCTTGTACTTAATGATCCTTGATTCTTTCCTTATACACTTCCAATATATATATATTTTTAAATAGCATGTGAACAGTAAATCAACAGCCGGCTGGCTGCAAACTGTTACTGATTGCGTGGCGCACAGGAAGCCCAAGTTACTGATTGTACAATATATTTCTCTTGCTGACTGTGTTGCGCCTTGACGGGCGAGTGTTCTACTTACTTTCTGGAGAGATGGTCTCTGTTACCAGATGTTGAGCAACATTCTCTTCGGTTGTAATTTCAAATTATATTTACTTCAAATGTATATCATTCTAAAACATTAAAAACACCCAAAATGTATTTTTTTTTTGCACCCTAGATAAAAAAACACCTTAGATGTTGAGTTGCAAAATGCAAACCGATTTGTTTGTCAGATCTTGCAGCCCTTATTGTATTTATTATTACTTATCTCATTTGCTTTGAGGATATATGTGGACTGGCTGAGCAACTTTATCAAATAGAATTATATTAAATATTATTACAGTAGACCTTTTGAACGACTTGATGTTCAAGCAGAAAACTTTAAAATAAAGGACGAGAAGACGTTAATTGAGTTTTAAAAATAAAAAGAAGAACTTTCCTTTCCCTTTCAAGGGAGTGCATGGGAGTGTATGGGAGTACATAAGAGTATATGGGAGTGCTAGGGAGTACATGGGAGTCCTAGGGAGTGCATGGGAGTATATGGAAGTACATAAGAGTATATGGGAGTGCTACGGAGTACATGGGAGTGCTGTGGAGTGTATGGGAGTGCATGGGGGTGCATGAGAGTGTACGGGAGTACATAAGAGTATATGGGAGTACATGGGAGTCCTAAGGAGTGCATGAGAGTGCATGGGCAACACAGTCTTCTCCTGAAATCAATGGTAATCATTGATTGTCAAATCGTCTCAAATCAATGACAATGATTGATTTTACGAACAAGTTACGAACATGTATGAATTGAGAGAGACTGAATCCCACTTAACAAAACCAGTCCTAAATGTCTTCGAGGAAGAGGAAAGCTAGCGATGTAAACATGGATAAGTTATTGGATGAAGCTAAAGCTTTACTGGATAAATTTGAAAGCAAGAAACCTAGAAAACTTTGAATTCGATATAAAACCATCAGGGTTAAGATAGCCAAAGCATGCTTACAGGCCACGTTTCAAGTCGAGTTTACAGTATCCGTTCAAAGGTGTGTGCATCAGGCGCCGTACATTTTGTATTCTTAAGAATCTATTTAAAAAAAATAAAAGAAATTTAAAAAAATAAAAGAATTCTACGTAAGCTTTATTTTCCAGTTAAAACGCTAGCATTTTTATATTTTTAACAGATGCTTGCGGCAGTTCTTTACCAGAAGAATATCATAATTGCGGGCATGATTATGAAATGCAAGAAGATTTGGAAGCAGGTAGCTTTAAAGATTCAAGTTTTTATAGCCTATAGTTTAGTTTATGAAAGCGTATTTAAAGCTTGATTAAAATTGAGCCTAATTCAAAGCCTGCATGTTCTGTTCTTTTGTATTCTAACTAGTAAATTTTGTTTCCTATTGTGTTCTGAATATGAATGTAATCTACAAATATTATAAGGTATAACTTAATATCATTATTTTAAAGCTTATTAGTTATATTTATCAAGATTTTAATTAACTTAATGTGTATAGTTGTCTTAAAAAGCTGGCTAACTGGGGTAATCTTAAGTAGAATTAGAAGTTTCTTAATTGCCGGAAGGGGTCAGCAAATTAAAACATAATATATACAACAAAAATAATTTTAGCCTCTGTAGTTGGTAAATTTTAGGTGGATTTATTATGATATCATTTGTAATTTTCTTGTTATTGTATACAACTAGATAACAATTACCAGGAAAGTCTAGAAGATACCATTAAAAAATGTAAAGTGATAGTGGATGCCTTCCCAAAACATCAAACCTGGAATGACAGGATGAAATCACTTAATGACAAGTGGGACACTTGCAGATCAAAAATATTTGAAGCAGTCGTTGCCGTAGAAGCACTCCCAGAAGAACAAAGATGCTGTTTATGCCTTGAAAATCACTGGAAGATAAGGTGCTATTCATGTTATGGCTGGAGGTTTTGCACATCCTGTGATTTAATTGTCCATGAACATAATGCCTTTCATGATCAAGACGTGTTTGTTAGTGTTTTTTTCAAGGCTGTCCCTCCAACTATCTGTTGATGACAATGGCAATCTGGTCACCATTAGTAAGTTGAATTTAATTGAAATTCAATGTATTTATTTTTAAAAACATGAGGGATAAATTACAATTATTATTTTCAATTGTGATGCCTAAAATGTAGTTCAGGAGAATCTAGCAGACGTACCATTGATAATGATGCTGTTGACAATGCAAGAAATAGAAGTCTTCTATTGAAATTGTTCAAGATCCAATAGCAATATTTAAATACATTAATATTTGATACATACAACTATAAATTGCTATATAACTTATCAATTTTTGTGGTTGGCCACTTTAGAACGAAGTCCATCATTTTGTAGGCCTATGTACTGCCCATTTTGTACTCATTCCAATTGGGTAGAACATGGTGATAACAATAGTATCTTGATTATTGTAAACGAGAAAGGTACTTTAAAACATAAAAAAACTCATAAGAGGATTATTATTTTTTCTGATTATTTTTCTTATTTACATGAGGGTTACAAGTGGGAACTGGGATTCTTTGACCCCAATGTCTCAATTTTTTGCAAAGTCTCTTGGCAATAGTTTGCATTTTCTACTGTCAAATGCACAATTGTTCAGGGTTTTGCACAGTCCCTGAAGTCTGTATTTTTGTTGTTATTCTTTGACTTCAACTTTCAGATGTGAAAATTGTGGAAAGGATGCTTATTACTCATTACCTACAATAATCCACAGTGGATATTGGCCTGGAAGTCCAACTAACCCCGACTATCTATTCCACCAAGATTTATTCATCCTGTGGGACTCTTTACAAAAGAGAATGCCTGGGACTTCAGAATCATCTTTTATTATGGGTTTAGAAGATTTTTCATTTTCAAAAGCAAGGGTACTGTATGTTATTGCTTAATTGATGTTTTACAAAGTTAACCATGGTATTCATGTTTATTATAAAATGAAGTATTGTATTTAATATATATATTATTCAATTTATTGAAGTTGTTGGTATGTTTAAGGCACCCAGTATCAACTCAACCACTTTTAGTCGCTCTTTTCGGGAGTGGAAATTTTGCCAGCACGAGCTGACATTGTTGCAGAAGATCAACTGGATGAAATGTCCTACATGTTCAGTTAGCCAGCATTCATGTCATGTTGGTGGTAACATGAAACTCTACCGCTATAAAAGATCTGGGAGGTCAGTGCTTGTTAAGTGTTTTATATTTATAGCCTGTATTGTGTTTGATAGAATTATCAAGTTATCAATTCTTGGCGCCAATCATTAGATGTTCAAAGTATAAAATGTTATTTATTTGTTATTCATTAGCCAGAGGACTCCTTCTTATTATAGTGATCTTTTCATTGCTGACAAGATAGAAGTTGATGAACATATCAAACAGATGGCTGCTTTCCGTGTGGGACAAATGATTATTCAAAATATTTTTGTTGCAGTAAATTCATGTGCACTCTTAATTATAGTGACTTAAACTCAGCAGTTACTTTGATCATAGTTTATTCACTGTAATTAATGTTGATAAGTGTTAGCAGTTCATAATTTATTTACAATATTCAAGTCCTTGTTGTATGCAGATTAACATCACCAAGTTCTGCAAATATTACAAAAGAATATTAATAAATTTAAAATTATTTATTGTAACTTGCATAGGAAAAGGATGATGACACATGTGGTGAGTCTCACTGGAAAGCTGCCAGTAACAGAATTAAAAAGAAGAAGAATTTAGATGAAACTGGACTAGAAATTGCAGGTTGTCGCCATGGATTAGATTAGCACAGTGGGCTGTAAATATGTATCAAGGGGAAATTTATGGCTATCCCCACTTTATACAGCAAAACAAAATGCAGCAAGCCAGTGTCAATTATTTCTGGGAGGATGTTGTTTGCAAATACTGTAAATGGGCTGAAAGGGCGGGCATTCTTGTTGATAATATGAAGCCTGCATTGTCTGTTATGCACGCCAAGGCACATAACTGGGCTTGCCAGGTGGGTTTCATATCTTGTAATGCATGTAGATTGTTGCTTGTTTCGGGCAATGATGGAGTTGCATATATCATGAGTTCAGGACTAGTATTTTAATGTTGTGAACCTGAGTCGATTTCCACATAGGCCCAGTTGATATGTTGTCATTTGTTATCAGATCTCTTTCATGCTGTTAGGGTTTTTTTCAGTGTTTTTTCAATGTTTTCATTTTCAATGTTTTGCTGACTTCTAACTTAACAGATAATTTGGGGAGGACGCTGGCAAACTGGAAGTGCGTGGACGATGGGAGAGGAAGTAGAACAAGTAAATTCATACATGTCACGTTGTGGAAACATGACAAAGTATATGCTTCCCGAAAGTAAGCATTGAGCCATACATCTAAAATCTTTATATGCAGTATGTAAGTATTATATAAATAAGGTAAGTGGTGGAAACTGGCAGTAAACTAGTGAGCTGCGTCAGTGTTTCCAAGGAAAAAGATAATTTGAACAATGTAAACAAGTATGTGAAATAACCGCTTACTGACGTTTCGGACGTCAAATAATCCTTCGTTGGAGCAAAGAGCAAAGACGATTTTTGAGAACCAGAACAGAA